GGGTGTGTTTCTAAAGTCCATTTCATATAGGGTATTTTTATAATTTAGGCTCCTATATTGGGTATAATAGTGAATCTCCCTTAAGATTATTGGTGGCAGGAAAAATACCAGCTTCTATTACCATGACCAACAGCTCCTATATCTACTTTCCAAAGCTCAGTCTATCCTCTACCACAGTATGAAAATATTTGCTCCGCAAATGAAGCTACCATAACACTGCTTAAAGGACGATAAGCGATATAATGATCTGCAAGTGAAAACCCTTTTCTGCTAGACCCGTTGGCATAGAAGTTTTCCCTTTGGTATAGAAAACAACCTTTTTTTTTAAGTGGGATAGTGAAGGTTTTCCTTTCATGGGAAACTTTGTTAAAATGCGCCAAAAACACATTATAAGACTGGTGTTAGTATAACATCCCGTTAATGTCCTGATCCAATGCCATGCTATTATATATTAGAAACATATGTTTTGTATATGTTCAAATATCTTATGCATTATTTAAAAGCAAAGATTAAAAAAAAATTCGGGTTCAACTGTACTACCTTGTTATTTTTCGACAAATTTTGGCACAAGTTTCAAACAACACTTGGAAGGTAGAAAGAAGAAAAAGAGGAGAACTACTTTCGAGGGGTCCATGAAGTACAATTTGGATTGTGTAGGGAGCTCTCTGCTTGGTTGATCTCTAGCGCTAGGAAGAAGAAAGTGATACTGTTTGATGAGGAAGTGAGGGCATTGGGTTGGACTTCAAAAGAGGGGAGGCTACTGCAGTTGAATTAGTTTGTTACTGAAGGTAAAAAAACAAACTGAGGATTGTTAGGAGTAAAAGGATAAAGTACCATGCTTCACAGAATGGTGTCTGTATGTAAAAGCAAGCTTTATTGAATATCTCACCAATATCTTTTGTGTATTTTGTTTTCAGGCTGCAAAAGTCCCTGTTAAAGAGCATGTATCTAATGAGAAGCAGCTGGAAAATGTGGAGTCTCAGCTGGTAATTTCCTGTTAGTTGGTGTTATCTACTTTTATACAATAACTGGTTCGAAGGAAACTTATGTATTGCTTTGACTGCTGCAGGAGAAAATGGTTGAAGGCAACTACTATCTGCGCAAATCAGCAAAAGAGGCGTATACATCTTATTTATTATCATATAATTCACACTCCATGAAGGACATCTTTAATGTTCACCGCCTTGATCTGCAGGTACTCATCCTTGTTTGGTTTTCACAACAGCTTGTGACTATTTGTTTTTGTTCAGTGTATCTCCTTGTCTGTGTTTTATAGCATAGAACACCAAACTGTATTTGAGATCACTTGGTACATTTACTTAGTGTAAAAACACTCGATACATGCATTTCACTTATCAATTGCAAGTAAAAGTTCTGGTCCAACCCTAAATAGCATCACCTTTTGGTAATTTACATATTTCTTCCTCCTTTTCAATTTTTTTTTACATATTTCTTCCAACAATATGAACTAGTGCTGAAATTAGAATTTCTCTAAAAATCCTTGGATTTATTATGCTTCAATATGTTTTGTGGCATCCGATTTAATTGCAAAGTGTGGTTGGAATTGGACAGGCGGTTGCAGCGTCCTTTTGCTTTTCTAATCCACCCAAGGTGAATTTGAACTTAGACAGCAGTGCATCAAAGTTCAGGAAGAAGATGCGTAAAGTAGAGGGAAGTCGAAACGGATTCAGTGAGAGCAATCCTTATGGTAGGCAAAAAGGTGGAGATGACAATCGACAATTTGTAAGGCATTAGAGGAGCCTTCGTGTGTGCAGTAAATTATGCTTTTTTTCTGTTCCTTGCAACAATATCTTATGTATTCATTTACTGCTGAAGTTTTGTAGCTGAAATTGAGACTGTAAAACGCAATTTTGATTGATGGCGTAAATGCAAGTCATCTGCCGTAGTTACCTACTTTGTAAATTAAAATTGATATTTTTTATCATGAGTTCGTTACCGGTATTGTTCATTCAGGAATTGAGGATTAGTGTACCATTTTATATTTGATACAGTTGCATACATTGGTAACTTTGTCAAATTGACAGAGAGATAAAGAACAACCGGGGAAAAGAGCCCATATGAATTCAAAAAATAAGGCCTTCATTCTCAATTTCTTCATTCGGTAAATTCTGCTTTTTTTTCTGTTTTCCTTACAAAATATCTTATGTATTCATTTACTCAAAGTCAAGGCATTTGCTAATGGATCTGAACTCGCTTGTTAAAAAATTGCCATCTCTTTCCTTGGTGCTAGTGGTATATATATTGCAAGGCCCTGTATGGTGGGTTGGACTGGATTAGTTAGGATTGGGTTTGGAGTGATGGACTGGTTTGGCTTGGATTGGGTTGAACTTTAATAAGTTATTTGGTACATTAAATTGGGCTAGATTGCACTGGACTAAAGACTAATCCGTCGTTTGGAACAAGTATGGGCTGGACTGTATTGGACTTCAAACAAAATTTATTAAAATTATTTAATATCAGAAAATATTTATTAAAATTATTATATATATATATATATATATATATGCCACATCAGCAAACTAACGGAGTTTTTGACGAAATCTAACAGCAGAGACCATTTGTGATTACACATACTAACCTTGAGGATCACGAATGACACAAAAAAACATTAAGGATGCAATTTGATAGTTTCGTAAACCTTAGGGACGTTTTGTGATATTAAGCCTTAAATTCAATAAAAAAAACATGCACACAAAATTAAAAATAAGAAATCTCATGAAGATACCATAAAAATAGTCCAAAAATTCACAAAATTAGTAATAACACGAAAATTCTTCCAAGTATACAATTAATCCAGGGTCTAAAGGCTCAAAGCTCAAAAGTCAGGGCCTTTGCTAATGGATCTGAGAATTACCTCTTCATTTCGTTTGGATGAGGGAAAATAACTCAGAATTTAGCTAAAAGTTGGGAATTTAAGAGGCGAAATTGACAGTTCCCCTGTTTGGAATTTATTAAAGACGTGCAGGAAAAATCGTGGAAATTGGGGCATCAAATTCTAGAGTTTAATTTCCACCAATATAAGCGTCATTTCACAATTTCCATAGTATCATTTACAAAATTCGACATACATAAATCCAAATACTGAAATATGCAATTGCCATAAATTGAAACGATGGAAATCTAAATTCCGTCATTTTTGAATTCTATGTAATTTTCAGTTACTTCATCCAAACAGAGGGTTAGAGAATTTGGTTACCTGGGATGTAGACATGTACCGCGTAGTTCCCTTCCACGTGAGGAAAGTTCCCAACTCTGCTAGGCTGAGCTTTTGGTGAGAAGCCCAGAAATCCTTCACAGTCAAAACATCAAACAATTAGTCGACAACACGATCGAAAGTTCAAAACCATTCCAAAACAAGGCAAATAGAGAGAAAATTGATTGGAATTAGTAGTTACCAAAGGAACTGGGGCTGTTGAGGAGTGACAGAGGAGAGCTTGATTCTTCGGTTGAGCTCTGGTGGTGGCGGTGGAATTATATATAAAAAAATATATATTTAAAGAGCATAATAGGGAAGGTAATTATACACACACAAAAAGTATATTCAAAGTGTATAGCCACGCGGCTATACCTATTAAATATTTTTTATTTATTTAAAACGTATCGCCGCTCGGCTATACCCCTTAAATATATATTTTAATTTAAATAGTATAGCCGAACGGCTATACGCTTTGAATATAATTTTAAGTTAAATAGTATAGCCGCACGGCTATACCTCTTAAATTTATTTTTTAATTTAAAGCGTACAGCCGTGCGGCTATACCTTTAGATATATATTTTTATTTAAATAGTAAAGTCGCTCGGCTATACTCCAAAGATATGTTTTTTATTTAAATAGTATAGCCGCACGGCTAGACGCTTCAAATACATTGTTTTATGGGAGTTTCACTAAAACACCCAAAATAGGGGCTGAAATTATAAAAAAACCCAACACCCAAAACACTTTATAAACACACCCAAAATCCATCATTACACACACTCAAAACCCATTTATAAACACACCCAAAAAATATACAATTGTTGATTTTGGGTATGTTTCTATGTTTAAATAGTGTGTGGGTTTTTTTATAAATACATGTATAGGATTGGGTTTATTTATAATAATCTATTGTTTTATTTCAATAGTATAGCCGTTCGGCTATACGTCTTAGAAATATTTTTTATTTTAGTAGTATAGCCGGGCGGCTATACGCTTAAAACTGATCCCTCGGCTATACTCTTTAAAACCCATCCTTTACACCATTGTTGGAGAAGAAGATGGGATGAGCAGAATGGCATTTTTCGTACTCGTCCTTGGTCTCCGCCATCACCGAGTCTTGGTTGAAATCTAAGTCCATGTAAAACAAAGCAAAATAACATTACCCA